GAGGGGCGGGGCCAAAAGGGGGCAATTTGGCTATATTGCTACAAACAACCACTTCTGTAGAACTCTGCACTGGATATCAATCATATTTGATCAAAAGTATTCATGAGAGGCAGGGATTCAAAATTGTACAAGTGGTGGGGCTAACCCCCCATCCCTCCGGGGGCTAAGGGTTGGGGCCCAAAACAGTTTATTACTTGGAAATGGTTGAGATCCCCACCGTATAACCATATATTTATTGGCTGAGTATAAAGAGAAGAATGCACATTTGCTTTCAGGATGGCCCTAGGGTCTGCCCCCCCCCCCCCCTTGGAGACATAGTCCCTGGTTCATAATTTTGGAATGGTTGAGATCCCCACCCCAAAACTATATATACAAACGGTGAGCATAAAGAGACGAATGTAGTCATGATATTAGAATAAACCCTGTGGTCTGACCAAGCCCTTAGGGACCTAGTTTCTTAGGCAGAGCTTGGAAACAGTTGATATCCCCACCCCATAACCATAAATACAATTGCTGAGTATAAAGAGATGAATGCACATTTGCTTCCAAAATGGCTTGGGGTCTGCCCCACCCTTGGAGACATAACCCGTGGGTCATAACTTTGAAATGGTTAAGATCCCCACCCTAAAACTATATATACAATTGTTGGGCATAAAGAGAGGAATGCAGTCATGATATAAGAATTGATCCTGGGGTCTGGCCGCAACCCTAGGGACATATTTTCTGGGTCACAACTTGGAAGCAGTTGAGATCCCACCCCATAACCATACAATAAATTGCTGGGCATGAAAAATCTAATACAGATATGCTACAAGAATTGGCCTTGGGGTCTGGCATATTCCCTTGGATATTATTTGGAGAATATTTGGCCATGATTGCTTAGATATCCAGGTGAGCGATACAGGCCCCCTGGGCCTCTTGTTTTATGGGTCATAAGGCAGGAGCATCGATATTTGGCCTGTACCTTGTTGAGGCGAATAACTGACGTTTGTGCAATACATTACCTGGCTTACATCCTAGATCACATGTTCAAATGTGTTGAAATGTACTTTAATGAACACCTATACCTTGGATTCATGATTGAAAATCACCCTTTTCCCAGTGATTAACCAGACAAACTTCAAATTTAAAAACTTTGGTTGCATTTTGTAGAAAACTGTCGTAGAATTCTATTAACGCACCTGGTCCGAAGGTCATTTTTCAAGGTTTTCCTTTAAAACTACTCGACCTGAAAGATTTAGTGGATTTATACTAAATTTGGACTAGAGCCGTCTTTGACAAAACGGGTTCAGTGTTGTATAAACGGAAGGCTTGTCAACATAGAAGCAGAGGGGCGGGCTAATTACGGGAAAACGATTTAATGTTTAAAATCCTTCACTTTTAAAAGGAAGTTTTTAGTCATAATTCCGAGCTTCATATTTAATTACACATGTCGATTGGTCATCTAGATATTTTGTTCTACTTGCTCATAATTATGCGTAGTTATACTTATCCAGCTTTTACTGATCTGTTTAATTTTTAAGCGCATCATTTTTAGATGGTGAGTTAATCAAATCGCATTTCGTCAGTCCGTCGTCCGTCCTCAAACAATTCTTGTTTTACTATTGCTCTAGAAGTACTTAAAAGATCTTCTCAAATTTTATATGAAGGTTCCCCTTGGTCCTTAGTTCATGCATGTTTGATTTTGTCAGCGATCAGGCAAACAAGTTGACCACCGGGCAGCCATCTTGGATTTTAACAGTTAAAGATTGATATCGCTATTTCTCAAAACGTAATCGACAAATCTTACTCAAATTTCATAAGAATATTCTCTTGGTCCCTGGTTTTGCGGGTCTCTCAAATTTGATATGCAGGTTTCCCCTGGTCTTTCACTTGGTATGTTTAGTTTGAGACTAAAAGGAAAAACAAAACGACTAACAAGCGGCCAATCTGACCGTAAGGATTTGTTTCCTGTATTTCTTAGAAAGTTGGCGAGAGATCTTATTCATATTTGATTTGTATCTTTTTGTACACGTTAACTTTAGAGACTTACTGGAAAAACAAAATGGCTGACTGGTGGCCGTCTTTGATTTTGACAGTTTTGTAATCTTTATTTCACGGAACGTTCTAAGATCTTTCTTAAATTGATATTTATGTTCACGTTGTCAAAGTGACCCCTAACCCTAATGAGAAGTCATATTGTTTCTTGACAGCACTTTTTATTACGTAACTTTCGATATCTTAATCATATTTGTAGTTTGCAGTTTGACAATACGGTAGTCTGTATGTGTAAAGCGAGTGTGGTAGGTTTCGATATCTGATTATCCCCCACGAGGGATGTTGATTTGGTGCCTCATCTTGTGAAAATTTGATGCCAGCATAGTTATGCAGGTTTGTTTATTGGTTCCTGTGCAATATCTCATGAGAATGGTGAGGTGGTTTTTAACTTGATTATACTTGTTCAGGCTAACTTTGATTCCTATGTATCCACTTATTAACATTTATTAACTCACCTGCCCGAAGGGCAAGTGAGCTTATGCCGTGGTGCGGCGTCCGTCCGTCCTTCCGTCCGTCCGTCGTCAACTTTTCCATTAAAATGACTTCTTCTCAACAACCAAAAGGCCCAGGGTACTGATATTGTGCCAGTAGCATGCTGGGATGAAGGGCTAACAAGTTGGTTCAAATGCATGACCTTGACCCCTTTCAAGGTCACAGGGGTCAAACAACTTCTTCTCAATAACCAAAAGGCATAGGGTGATGATATTGGGCCTGTAGCATGCTGTGATGAAGGGCTACCAAGTTCGTTCAAATGAATGACCTTGACCAACTTTCATGGTCACATGGGTCAAAAGTGGTAAATTATTTTAAAAACTTCTTCTCAATCACCAAAAGGCCTAGGGTACCGATATTGGGCCTGTAGCATGCTGTGATGAAGGGCTACCAAGTTTATTCAAATGAATGACCTTGACCCACTTTCAAGGTCACAGGGGTCAAATGTCTTAAAATCTTCAAACGACTTCTTCTCAATAACCAAAAGGCCCAGGGTACTGATATTAGGCCTGTAGCATGCTGGGATAAAGGGCTACCAAGTTTGTTCAAATAAATTACCTTGACCCACTTTAAAGGTCACAGGAGTAAACTGTCTTCAAATCTTCAAACAACTTCTTCTCAATTACCAAGAGGCATTGGAGCATGATATTTGGCCAGTAACATGCTGGGATGAAGGACTACCAAGTTTGTTTAAATGAATGACCTTGACATATATTCAAGGTCACAGGGGTCAAACATTTTAAAAAACCTTAAATGACTAGATCTGTATAATCAAAAGGTTCAGGGTACTGATATTTTCCCAGAAGCATGCTGGCTTGGAAGTCTATAAACTCTGTTCAACGTAATGTCCTTGTTCGACATTCAAGGTCATATGTTTAAATCTTTTAATAAGTTCTTATGAATCAAACACTGATATTCTGCCTGTAGCTGTATTTTAGTCCACTTTTAAGATAACAAGTGTGCGATTAACGACAGGTGAGCGATTCAGGCCCAATGGACCTCTTGTTTGTTTTATTGTTCTCCATACAACAACTTTTCTGAAAAATGTTGGAATATATCAAAATTTGATGTACACCTGTATACATGTAGTGCCAAGTTTTACCGACAAAGTGTCAGGCTGAATTTGATTCCCAAATTAACACGTGTACATTTGTGTTTAACTAATGAGGCTGTCAACTTTTCAGTGGTAAAGTTGGTCTCCATGCAACAACCCTTCTAAAAAGTGATCGATTACATCCAGACTGGATGGACACATACATATTTGCTAAGAGTTAGACGTAGTTTGGTTAAAGGTTCGATGCATGCATATTCACGCCTAATAAATATTTCGATTTTGCAAAATTGTATGTGCCTTTAGCCACGACAACTTATATATATATATTACATTTTATAGAAATTCAACTTCAGTAGAAAGCTAGATAATATATCCCGGATTGTCGGTTTACGGTTCTCCGTCTTATTGAACAGTATGTATATACTAATAACAAATAAAGCATGTCCATCAAGTGCAGGATATAACTTCCACGAATTTGCTTGTTTGAGATTTGATTTAAGTTATTTTGAGAGAAATTATATATGTGTTATTGGTAACGAAGATTAGATAAACATGAGAAACGTAACACTTTCTACCATGACATATCTGGTTTGTAGAGCATTGATATTTTGTCATTTAATTCAGAAAGAGAGCAAAACCAGAAATATTTACCGTTGTAATTTAGTTCTTATTTTTTTCCTTGGCAATAAGATGCTGCTAAAATTATTTTGATTCTTTTATAGGGCTGCTGTACTGTGATCATAATGAAATTGTATGAACACCTTATATAACGACCACATCAAATGGTTCCATAAAAATACCTTTCTCTCAAACAAAATACCTACGTCAGTTTGACTTCTGAAATTACTTCAATTGACATCTTTTTTTGCGAATTTATACTATGTTCACGATGAATCTTCTACATGTAAATCGGTGTTTGTTATGCAAGTTTTGTACTTTAAAGTAGGTCCTCCCTCGATGATTCATGTATGAAACCCCCTTTTTTCTGAAATCAATAAAACAATGTCTACAATAAAACAAATCATTACCCTTGTTAGTTTTCAATCTAGGGTACATAATATCAAGAGCATATGTGCCCTCGAGCTCAAACGTTTTAGAAGAAATGAACTTTAGCCGAGACCAATGTTCCTTAAAGTTGTGTTAATCAAATATAATTCTACAAATTCATTTCTCTATATATAATGAGATTGATAGGTGAAACATTTGTTTTTTTCAGCTTTAAAAATAATAATGATAAAACGTGGCTACATATATAAGTTATTATGTACCTCTCGAACTCGGGTATCTAGAACATAATGACCCAAAAGGAACATGATTCAAAGGTGACAACAATTCCTTACTATGTTACAAGAAAGTATCCTTAATCTAAATTTGGGACAGAGACGACATTTACAATTTATATGTTAGTGATATTTAATCTAGTTAGATTTCTTGCAAAAAAGTGCATTGCATACATTGAAAAATCCCAGACAATAAGACATGGTGAAAGTCATTATCTGATATGAGTCGTAGATTGAATACAACAATCCCAGGCAAAACTGATCCCTGTCGATATAAACAAGATTGCTAAATAAAACTTCCGGATTGTGATGTCATATGAGGGAGGACATACTTTAACCTAGGCAAAAAAACACAGTTCTATGTTTGTATATTTGACTGAGAGTATTCTTTTACTTTTCCCTGTAGATCAAACCGAAATCTGGATAAAGTGGAAACGGGTTAACTCTAAATTCATAACGACGAACGCTTTTAATGTCGCTATCGAAATCTTGAAAAAAACGAACTTGCTTCTAATAAGAGGGAACTGTGGTGATGGTAAAAGCGTTCTGGCTATGGAGATAATGGCTTGGCTAATGGGTGATCGTGAAGAACAGTGCGGAGACGTTCACCATGATACTGTTAATCAAAGAAAGAAACCCCTTCTTCTTAAGGAGCTGAAGAGCTGGGACGAAACAGTATCATGTAATGCGAATTTAGCAATTTTCGTTGATGATATTTTCGGGTACAGTTCTATATACAGCGAAGATTTAGCATGGTGGAAGAAAATATCGCCCTTTATTCAACCGGTTTTAGATGGACACATAGGTAACAATGCAAATTGCATGATCCTAACCGTCAGAAACGATGTATATGCGGAACACAGATCTCTATTTTGTCATAAAGATGTATTCAATGACAATAAATGTGTGGTTGATTTGAGTTCTTCTCACAGTTTACAAACAGAAGAAAAGAAAAACATATTGAGATTATATATGCCGAACAGTGTAGATTTATCGACAGACGATGAAACGACAATCGTTCAATCTGAGTTGCCATTTGGTTTTCCGGAGTGTTGTAGAATATTTGAATCGCTTGCAGAAACGCACTACCAACCAAGAGAATATTTTGTGAAACCGTTATTTTTTATTAAAAAAATCATCCGGGAAAGATTTAGTAAAAGTAAACAGGCGGCACTATTGTTCCTTCTCCTGGCTACAGGAAAGACTACCGTAAGTCAGTTAGAACCCGATAGTTCGAACGCACAGGAAGATGAACTTATAAAATTGGCGTTTGACATATCTTTTTCAGGCGACACTATCCAAAGTTTAGCAACAAACACTGAAGTTCAAACAAAACGAATTATAATAGAAGGATTAAAATCAATGATAGGGTCTTTAGTGAAGTTAGAATCCAACACTTTTACATTTTACCATGATGTTGTGGAAGATGCTGTGGCTATCCTCTACGGAGAAATCGACCCCCGTGGATTCCTTCGAAATGTCAACTTAACTCATTTGCGTTATATAGAAACTTTACAAGGTAGTAGAAATGAACTAAAGATAGGCGATGAAAACATTGAGTGTTTGTATAATCGTATTTTGGATGAATTGAAGACCAGGGCTTCAAACCAATATGAAATGTTAACCACGCTGCGAGTATGGGATGATGGAAATTTTGTGCGGCATTTCATTGCTTGGGTTGGACAACAGGAAAGTGTACCAAATGACTTCTACTTCCAATGGACGACAAAAGAATGCGCGCTTACAATGAAGAAGGGTTTCCCAACACCCCATGACAATAATGAAAACAACTACTACAGTTTCTTTGTATTCGTTGCAAAGTCAAGCAAAAATTATTTATTACAGCAACTCATAGAACAAGGCAAATCAAATACAATTCAGATGAAGCTTGCATTGGATCAAGCATGTGTATCGGGATGTGTAAACTGTGCATTAACACTTCTGAAAAATGGGATTACTCCTGATAGCAACACCTGGATCAGTGTTGTAAAAGGAGGGTCACTTGACTTGCTGAATACATTGATCTCTTCTGACACACATCCTCTTGCAACAACAGACGACAAAACCTTCGATGTTAAGAATGTCAATATGTTACAACTAGCGTGTCTTTATGAAAAAGAACAAGTCGCCTTTTGTCTAGCAGAGCATTTTCCAATGCTTGTTAAACATAGGGACAAGGATGGTAACTCAATGTTCCACCACATTACTATGACAAACAATTGTGATCTATTTGAAAAAATTGCGATAAGACTGTGCTTAGAATCACAAGATTTAATGTCCTTGTTACGGAGGGATGACGGAGTTACAGTGCTACACATGCATTGGATTAACCGACACCAACAGTTCAATGCCAGTAAGAGGAATATGAGCATGTACTTTTACGAAACATATCCATCATTGATATCACAACGAGACAATGGAGGTAGGCATTGCCTTCACGCTGCATCCCATTCAGGTGATGTTGATGGTTTTGTGTACTTAGATAATCGTGTAAATCAAGGAAAAAGTGAAACAGAGAAACTACATTACATGGAGACATTACTTACTAGTGTGGGTGAGACTGTACTTCACGGAGGAAGTTTAAATGGAAAGAAAACTATGTGTACACATATATGCCAGACGTATCCGTCATTGATATCACAACGGGACAATAGAGGTAGGCATTGCCTCCACGACGCAGCATTATCCGGAGATGTTGATTGTTTCGTGTATTTAGACGATCTTGTCAATCAAGGGAAAAGTGAAACAGAGAAACTACATTACATGGAGACATTACTTTCTAGCGAAGGTGAGAATGTACTTCACTTTGCAAGTATAAATGGGAAAAAAGCTATGTGTACACATATATGCCAGACGTATCCGTCATTGATATCACAACGGGACAATAGAGGTAGGCATTGCCTCCACGACGCAGCATTATCCGGAGATGTTGATTGTTTCGTGTATTTAGACGATCTTGTCAATCAAGGGAAAAGTGAAACAGAGAAACTACATTACATGGAGACATTACTTTCTAGCGAAGGTGAGAATGTACTTCACTTTGCAAGTATAAATGGGAAAAAAGCTATGTGTACACATATATGCCAGACGTATCCGTCATTGATATCACAACGGGACAATAGAGGTAGGCATTGCCTCCACGACGCAGCATTATCCGGAGATGTTGATTGTTTCGTGTATTTAGACGATCTTGTCAATCAAGGGAAAAGTGAAACAGAGAAACTACATTACATGGAGACATTACTTTCTAGCGAAGGTGAGAATGTACTTCACTTTGCAAGTATAAATGGGAAAAAAGCTATGTGTACACATATATGCCAGACGTATCCGTCATTGATATCACAACGGGACAATAGAGGTAGGCATTGCCTCCACGACGCAGCATTATCCGGAGATGTTGATTGTTTCGTGTATTTAGACGATCTTGTCAATCAAGGGAAAAGTGAAACAGAGAAACTACATTACATGGAGACATTACTTTCTAGCGAAGGTGAGAATGTACTTCACTTTGCAAGTATAAATGGGAAAAAAGCTATGTGTACACATATATGCCAGACGTATCCGTCATTGATATCACAACGGGACAATAGAGGTAGGCATTGCCTCCACGACGCAGCATTATCCGGAGATGTTGATTGTTTCGTGTATTTAGACGATCTTGTCAATCAAGGGAAAAGTGAAACAGAGAAACTACATTACATGGAGACATTACTTTCTAGCGAAGGTGAGAATGTACTTCACTTTGCAAGTATAAATGGGAAAAAAGCTATGTGTACACATATATGCCAGACGTATCCGTCATTGATATCACAACGGGACAATAGAGGTAGGCATTGCCTCCACGACGCAGCATTATCCGGAGATGTTGATTGTTTCGTGTATTTAGACGATCTTGTCAATCAAGGGAAAAGTGAAACAGAGAAACTACATTACATGGAGACATTACTTTCTAGCGAAGGTGAGAATGTACTTCACTTTGCAAGTATAAATGGGAAAAAAGCTATGTGTACACATATATGCCAGACGTATCCGTCATTGATATCACAACGAGACAATGGAGGTAGGCATTGCCTCCACTACGCAGCACATTCCGGAGATGTTGATTGTTTCGTGTATTTAGACGATCTTGTCAATCAAGGGAAAAGTGAAACAGAGAAACTACATTACATGGAGACATTACTTACTAGCAAGGGTGAGACTGTACTTCACCGAGGAAGTATAAATGGAAAGAAAACTATGTGTACACATATATGCCAGACGTATCCGTCATTGATATCACAACGAGACAATAGAGGTATGCATTGCCTCCACTACGCAGCATATTCCGGAGATGTTGATTGTTTCATGTATTTAGACGGTCGTGTAAATCAAGGTAAAAGTGAAACAGAGAAACTACATTACATGGAGACATCACTATCTAGTGAGGGTGAGACTGTACTTCACCGAGGAAGTGTAAATGGAAAGAAAAGTATGTGTACACATATATGCAAGACGTATCCGTCATTGATATCGCAACGAGACAATGGAGGTAGGCATTGCCTCCACTACGCAGCACATTCCGGAGATGTTGATTGTTTCGTGTATTTAGACGGTCGTGTAAATCAAGGTAAAAGTGAAACAGAGAAGCTACATTCCATGGAGACATTACTTACTAGCAAGGGAGAGAATGTTTTTCACCGAGGAAGTTTAAATGGAAAGAAAACTATGTGTGCCCATATATGCCAGACGTATCCGTCATTGATATCACAACGAGACAATAGAGGTATGCATTGCCTCC